TCTCTCTCTCTCTCTCTCTCTCTCTCTCTCTCTCTCTCTCTCTCTCTCTCTCTCTCTCTCTCTCTCTCTCTCTCTCTCTCTCTCTCTCGTGCATGAGTCAGCACGACTGCCCATGACATTTGTGTATGTGTGTGTGTGTGTGTGTGGGCTTGGCACCGCGTGCAGGGGGACGTGTGACGGATCTCATCATGAGATTGATCAGCTGGTTCCTTGGTCGAGGGGGTAATGTGACACGTGTGACGTCTGTGTCCTTTGTCAATTTTTTGGAGGACAATTTTGAAATCAGAGGAACAGGTTTTCCGGTTCACAGCAACACTTTAACTGCCACCAATGCTGAGGTGCTTATTTTGGCTTCCAAGCTGGCATACGAGAACATGAGTGTACGAGTGGTGACCCAAGTTTGGGAGGTAGGGGTCACCTCCCACGGGCTCTCTTTTCTCCCTGTTGCTCCCAGCCCTCAAAAACCAATATACCCAGTCCCAACCCCTTCCCCCACACCCCTTTTATGTAGGGTCACAGCATGGCTCTTTCCTTGATTGGGTAGATGATATATTGTCACTCTATTTTTTCTGTTTTGGCTTTTAGATCGAATTAGGGCATGGTACGGCAAGGATGGACAAGCCCAGGGGGGATAGCGAGAGAAAAAGAAGGGAGGAAAAGGGTGTAGAAAAAAAGTGAGGATGGTTTTATAGGCTAAAGAACAGGGAGGAGAGGTAGGGTTCAGGGTTTAGGGTTTAAGCACCGCGGGTGGGTTAAATAGCGGACGGCAAGAGTAAGAGGGTACCTGGGACATGATGGAGACCACTACCTTCGTCCCCCGAACACAACACGCCATTTTGAGAGTCACTGTATTGGGTCGTGAACATAGCTCGTATACATTCATTTTCAGGGTGTTATGTTCGGTGGAAGATGGTAGCTCCTCAGACATCATATCTGGCTCACCTGTAGTGGGCGCACTGGCCTGTTTGCTCATCATTTGCTTGTTAACTGCTGCAACTTTTGGAGGTACTGGTGGTTTTAAACAATAAGCAGCCATTTTTAAAAAAAATAAGCATTTCATATTTTTGGAATGAAATTGGAACCTACTTTTTTGGGCCCAAGAATGTCACTGTCTGAAAATGCCTGACCCACCCTTGGATGTCTCTGGACCGCAGCTAAGTCCAGATGTATCCTCAGGACCTGAAACTGTCGCAGTGAATATTAGGGCCACATATGTCGTTCAAAAAATATGAAATGTCTTTTATTTTATAACAGTTTTGTCAAAACGGACATATTTTATTTTTTGAACGAAATTTGCCCAATTCAGGTGAAAATTTCAAGCCCTTGAGGGTCTGGTGTCCTTAAAACACCTGACCCCTTAGATGTATCTGGACTTAGCTGGAGTCCAGGGGGTACGGCGTTCTGAAAATGCCGTAGCCCCTGGATGTATCTGAACTTAGCTTGCATCCAGGGGGTAGGGCGTTTTCAGAATGCCGTACCCTCAGGAACTGAAAATATAGATCAAAACCGGGCCAATTTACGAGTTTTCAATTTCGATCAAAAAATAAAATATGTCAGTTTGCTGTTTATGGTAGGTTGATGTATCGTTCACATCTTTCTGAAGCCTGATGTAGACTTCTCAGGCCTGGTCATCTGTTGGTTTTGTCCTTTTCTTGCCTGCCTGTCTGCCAGTATCTGGCTATCGCTGGTCGGTTGGGTTATTGGCAGTGCCGGTCCTGTGGCACAGGTCGAACGTGGGGGGCCGAATTCTGTGAACGGCCATTCACGGGGTTTCCACCCACGTGGAGGCCTGGACAGTCGGGATCGGGGCAGGAGGAGGAGGGTGCAAAAAAAAAAAAAAAAAAAAAAAAGAATGGGGTGTGTGAAGAAAAATAAAATAAAATGTTTGGGGGGTGGAGGTGGGTGGGGGTTGGCGCAGTCCTGGCAGAGAAGAGAAGAGGGGGGGAAAAAAAAAATCTCTCTCTCTCTCTTCTCTCTCTCTCTCTCTCTCTCTCTCTCTCTCTCTCTCTCTCTCTCTCTCTCTCTCTCTCTCTCTCTCTCTCTCTCTCCTGTGAAACCACGTGCTGATTAGCGCGGGGTCGGAGCTCAAATTTTTGAGCTCCGCTCAATCCCCTGCTCAAAAGCGCTTGAGCGGGGTTTGAGCGGGAGCGGGAGTGTTTTTTCCCCCAAAAAAAATAAGCAAAAAAAAAAACAAAAAATACAGGGTTGTAGATCTTTTTGAGATCTACAACCTTGTGTAACATAAAAACGAGAAAAAAAGACACTCACAGACCCCACCCAGCCCGGGCCTGCCCACAGACACACACATGAACACACACACACACACGGGCACACACACACACACACACACACACACACACACACACACACA